TTGTACTTTGTGGCAATTTCTTTTACAGGTGGCAGATGGTCTTGTCTTAGAGAAGACCTCATCTCCATTAGGCGTACTCTTGATTGTTTTTGAATCCCGACCTGATGCACTTGTACAGGTATGTTAAAAGTCAAATTCCTTTCTCTTCTTAATATGTGAATTTGCTAAAGCTCTGCTTTATCCACAAACCAAACAGATAGCTTCACTTGCCATCCGGAGTGGTAATGGTCTTCTGTTGAAGGGTGGAAAAGAGGCCCGGCGATCAAATGCTATCTTACACAAGGTACGAGTCTGCCTCAGATTTCATATCATTATATGCCTCAAAATTTATCACTACAGCTCTTTTAAGTTTTTTAAGTTCATGGTAAATTTCTAGGTGATTACTGATGCAATTCCAGAGACGGTCGGGGGTAAACTCATTGGACTTGTGACTTCAAGAGAAGAGATTCCTGATTTGCTCAAGGTAAACACAGATTTACAAACTGGGAGCTGCAACAAGTCTTTATATCTTTTTTTAAACTGGAACCCACCATTTGCATATGTGCTACAGCTTGATGATGTTATCGATCTTGTGATCCCAAGAGGCAGCAACAAGCTTGTTACTCAGATAAAAAATACTACAAAAATCCCTGTGCTTGGTCATGCTGGTACGGTTTCAAGTTTGTTTTCCCATAAGATTCTTTACTTGGATTGTGATAGAGAGTGACGATGGCTTAATTGTGTACTCCCAGATGGAATCTGTCATGTATATGTCGACAAGTCTTGTGATACGGATATGGCAAAGCGCATAGTTTCTGATGCAAAGTTGGACTATCCAGCAGCCTGTAATGCGATGGTAAGAGAATTTTTGACCTTCCGTCGAGAATTCACTAATACAGTAGGGGATTCTAAAACTCATCTGACTGATCATTTCATCTTCTATTTCTCTCGTCTTTTTCAGGAAACCCTTCTTGTGCATAAGGATCTAGAGCAGAATGCTGTGCTCAATGAGCTTATTTTTGCTCTGCAGAGCAATGGTAAGTCATAAATGGCCCAATTATTTGTTGGTCTATCTTAACCATTTATTTGACCTCTTGTTACCTTCAATCTGGATGTCTCATAGGTACATGTAGCCTGTTTGACTATAAACGTTGAATGATCATTTCATGAAAACTTTTTAGAGTTGTAAAACTCATGAGGTATATTAAACTGCAGGAGTCACTTTGTATGGTGGACCAAGGGCAAGTGCAATACTGAACATACCAGAAGCACGGTCATTCAACCATGAGTACTGTGCCAAGGCTTGCACTGTTGAAGTTGTTGAAGACGTTTATGGTGCTATAGATCACATTCACCGACATGGAAGGTAGAAACTCAACATAACAGGCATTGACTTCTGTAAATTTTTGCATATGTAGTGGAAATGTTCACTCGTTATCTTGTCTTGGATGTTGTTGCGAGCAGTGCACACACAGACTGCATTGTGACAGAGGATCACGAAGTTGCAGAGCTATTCCTTCGCCAAGTGGACAGGTAAAATACTGGATCATGAGCTTGCTTGATATCTTGTCTTCGATTTTTCTTGGTAACTGACTGTAAGATGTTACGTCCTTGTACAGCGCTGCTGTTTTCCACAACGCAAGCACACGATTCTCAGATGGTTTCCGATTTGGACTTGGTGCTGAGGTAAGTCAGAGACATACACATAAATCTATATATTAAAAACAAATAAGAAGAGGAAGAGTGAGTGATAGAGTATTTTATTTGGTTGTGGTATATAGGTGGGAGTAAGCACGGGCCGTATCCATGCTCGTGGTCCAGTCGGGGTCGAAGGATTACTTACAACGAGATGGTAAAATTTTAGTTACTCAAAACACCATTGTTATGTCAATATAGACCCACAATAAGCCTTTTTTCTTAGGTTTCTTTTAATTTTCATTGTGAAATGGTTGCAGGATAATGAGAGGAAAAGGACAAGTTGTCGACGGAGACAATGGAATTGTTTACACCCATCAGGACATTCCCATCCAAGCTTAAAACAAAACGTCGAGTGTGTTTGTGTTTGGTTGAGACTTGAGGAGAGACACAGAGGAGGATGGGCTTTTTGTTTCCTCTCTGCTTAGTACTCATATCCAATCATTATTATTATTACTACTTATTATTGAAACCCTCGCTCATGTAGTGGTTTTGATTTAGGGTTAGGATTGCACCAAAAAATAAGATCTACTTTACCACTTGGTCTTGCTCATAAGTAAGTTTATTAGCTTCTCTTCTTGTCATTATTGTAAGCTACCTACACCTTTTCTGATATTTTATCAAGATACTACTACTTTTCGTATCTTTTATCTATAACTATCTTTGGATTTGAGTTTCAATTGGCATCGGGAATCACAAGTTGAATCAGAACAGAAAATTCATTACCAGAAATTCTCAAAGATTGTGCTACATTTGAATGCTAACAATGCTAATAATAAGAGACTTCACAATCTCATTCTTAGGTACTTAGCTAACGACCTTACATTCATTCTTCCATAAACTCCTTAACATTCTTCAACCATAACAAGTACTCTCGGTTCACTTTCCTCATCATGTACTCGTGCAGGAAATTCGTCGTACTAGCTTTCACTCCTCTGATCTCCAAAAACTTGTAGAACGTCTTCTTCAGATTCTCGTCCAAGTCTCTGCAAAAAGGGATGAAACACAAAACAATATTATAATCTCTCTGTTCACCATGCCTATCTCTATACAACCTTACACTTGCAATTATTATTGACAGAGGCTTACTCGAAATCAGGCCCTTCATTGGCCATTTGATCCTCCAAAGAATCCCCAGGATGTTTCACAGATAAGGCATCTATAGCAATCTCATCAGGAAAAGCCATGCAGCTAAACTCTAAGCTGAGTCCGCTCTTCTTGGTAACAGTCACAACTAGTGGAATACTTGATTCATTACTAGGACCTTCATCATCATCAGCATCATCATCATTTTCATCTGAAACAAGACTAGGCATGCTTACTATAACTTTAATATGTTCCCCATTGTAGTCTCTAGTCAATGTTACATTCTGATGTCCAGGATTGTCTTCAATTCTAAAAGGAAAGCTTCCTGGAGTTATCTCTTCATCCTGCTCCCAACCAAACCCCAATAGAATATTAGAAAAAAACAGTCTCAACTGATCAAACACAGAGACAAATATCTTCTAAGCATAAGAATATCATCAGCATATGAATTAATATCATAAATTGAAGAACTTTTCAACAAGCTTGTAAAGCCATTTGGTCAAACATATAAAGAAACTGAAACACAGTAACAAGTAAAACCTATAATCAGCAAAATTTTCAACACTCATTTTCGAATAGAAAATTGAAAAGCTCTTTGATTTCATTCTTCTTAAGGCCAAACTATGGTTTTGAGCAAGAAATGAGAAAACTTTACCAAATCGATATTATCGGTTTGCGAAGCAGAATTGATCTCGGAGTCGATAACTCGGATAAGTGATTGCTCGGAGCTCATTCGATCAATAGCCGTCGAGTAATTAAAGCCGCGAGAGACCAATGGACGAACCGGAGATGGGTTGCGAGCTAGAGACGCGCGGTTCACAACGGCGGAGATAGATCGGACTCGACCACCATAAACGGAAGCAAACTTAGATGCTGACCTGCGTACAACGCACCAAGCTAAAGCCATGGTGATTCGATTTGATTGATTCTCTCTTCTTCTGTGAAGGAAGAAAATGGAGTTTTAAGGGATTTAAGGTTTTAACAGCGATTGAAGTTGAGCTCCGTATCAGCCCGGTTCGCTTCGGTTCGGTTCGTTGGTTAATTCAAAACAACGAACCAAATTACATTCTAATTCAAGCCAAAAATAACTACGCGAAAATTTCTCATCTAACAAACCATTCTTGTGACTTTAGTTCAGGAATTGTATGTAATGTATCTATGACTCTGAGCAGTGTTCTAAAAAGCGGTCTAGGCGGTCGTCTAGACCCCGACTAGTCGCTAGACTTTCATGCGACACCTACATAACCGTCTTGACCGCCTAAAATTACATAGATCTTGTTTAATGTATATTTTCAATTTTAATTAGAGTTTTATTTATATATATAGTTATAAATATTCATATATTGTTTAATATAAATATAAATAAATGTTTTATATAGTTTTTGTTTATAATTTCATAATTTTTAGTTTTATATAGATATTTTATAGAACTTTTTTATATAATATCATATTTATAATGTTTTATGTTATAAACGTCTAAATCGCCTAAAAAATCGCCTAGGCTCCGATTAAGCGTTCTAGGCGCTAGACACTGGGTCACCGCCCGCTTAGCTCCTAGCGCTTTCCTGAACACTGACTCTGAGTATATCATGCTTGATTTTTCTGGATATAGACCATATGAAAAGTTACTTCAAATAACTCCCAAGCAAACCAATAATAGAAACATTACTTCTCTCACAAAGGCATTCTTAAACCCTTCTTGTGTAAAATCTCTCTTCTCTACACATTTATTCTTCAGAGGAAGAAAACGTGTTTTTATACATGGGGATGAGACCTAGTCACGAACCAATATACTAATTATCCTTTCCTGGATCTAGAAGAC